CACACGTCCGAGCGATGCCGAGCCTGGGGCGCGAGACTCCTGCAAGGGGCGGTCGTGGGCCCTGCCTGGGGCGCCCCGCGAGACGCCGCGGCTTTGGCAGGGCCCGCCGAGGGTCGCCCCGGGCAGCCTGCGCTCGGTGGGGCCTGCCTGCCGCCCGGGCCGGCTGGTCCTGCACCTGCGGAAGAGCTGGCGCAAGCGGATCGGTTCGTCGTCGAAGCGCGCTGGTGCTGGCTGGCGACGGGGGCCGTTTCGCGGGCTCCCCCTGGCTGCCGACTGGCAGCAGAAGAGGTGATGCGTGAGGGATGGCAGAAAGAGGGAGACAGAGAGAGAGAGAGTGTGTGGGGGGGGGGGGGAGGAAACACAGATATACACATCTTATTCGAGTGATAGTTGTGTATATATATATGTATGTGTATATATATATATAGAGAGAGAGAGAGAGAGAGAGAGAGAGAGAGAGAGAGAAAGAAAGAGACAGAGACAGAGACAGAGACAGAGAGGGGGATGGGAAGAGGCCGGGAGGGAGGAAGAGGGAGAGGGAGGGAGGACTGGCAGGAGGACGCGAAGGAGGACGGGGCGACGAGGAGAGCGAGAAGGGCCCTCTCCTGCGAAGCGCCCGCCGGAAAAGAAACGACGAGGACGAGTTAGGACGAGCGGGTCGGCGGACGTGCGCAGAGGCCTGCTGGATCGTGGAAGCCTTCGGCCTTCGCGATCACGCGCCTCTGCATCTCCACGCACTCGGCCGGGTACTTCCCGACGGCGGCCTCGCCGCTGAGCATCACCGCGTCGCAGCCGTCGATGATCGCGTTCGCGACGTCGCTGCACTCCGCCCGCGTCGGCGTGGGGCACGAGATCATGGATTCCATCATCTGCGTGGCGACGATGACCGGCTTGCCGAGCTTGCGGGCCTTCATGATCATGTCCTTCTGGTGGGAGGAGGAGGAGGAGGAGGAGGAGGAGGAGGAGGAGGAGGAGGAGGAGGAGGAGGAGGAGGAGCAGGAGGAGGAGGAGCAGGAGGAGGAGGAGGAGGAGGAGGAGCAGGAGGAGAAGGAGGCGGAGGAGGAGGAGGAGGAGGAGGAGGAGGAGATTATCATGTCCTTCTGGTGGAAGGGTACCTCTTCCGGCGGCGTCTCCACGCCCAGGTCGCCCCTGGCCACCATGGCGCCGTCGGACTCCTGCAGGATCCTGTCCAGGTCCTCCAGCGCCTGCGGCTTCTCGATCTTCGCCAAGATCTTGGGCGCATTCCCCTCGCAGCGTCGGATGAGCTCCCGGAGCTCGACCATGTCCTCGTGGCGCTGCACGAAGGACAGCCCCACCCAGTCGATGTCCTGCCCGCAGATGAAGCTGAGGTCCTTCCTGTCCTTCTCTGTGATGGGCGAGATGGGCAGCACCACATCTGGTGTGTTCACGCCCTTCTTCGCGCTGAGCTTGCCGCCGACTTCCACTTCGCACTCGATGAACGGAGGGCACTCCGTGATGGACGAGCTCGGCCTCTGTGCTCCCTGCCCGACCACGACGTCCTTGCCCTCCCATGTATAGCCCTGCCTGATCACACGCAGCCGCAGCTTCCCGTCGTCGAGCAACAGCGTCTTGCCCTCGCAGAGGGCCATCAAGATCTCTGGATGCGGAAGCTGCACGCGGTTGCCGTCGCCTGGAGCCCCATCGAGGTCGAACCGAAACAGCTGCCCCGCTTTCAGGACAACTCCATCCTCGTCGGCGAACACCCCACAACGCTGCTTGGGGCCCTGAAGGTCGGCGAGGATGCCGATGGGGTGCTGATACCGCTCCTCCACGCTACGGATCCTTCGGATCAGCGCCACCTTCTCTTCGTGAGAGCCGTGGGAGAAGTTGAGCCGAAAGACGTCGACGCCGCAGAGGAAAAGGCGCTCGATCATCTCCTCGCTCTCGCTGGCGGGCCCCAGGGTGGCGACCTGCTTCGCCCCCTTCCTGCAGGCCCTCGTGATCTGCCCTCCGTCCATAGTTTGGACCTCGGGAAGAAGAATAAGAACTTGCACCAGAGAAAAACCACAATCAGTGGATGGTTTTCGCTGAGGAGATCGACTAGCCCGGGAACCCAGAACCCACCGAAATCGGCCCGAAACCAACAACCGGGAACCCAGTAACCCGGAACCGGGAACCCAGTAACCCTGAACCGGGAACCCGGGAACCCACCCTGCTACCAAAATCGGCGGGAAACCTTTGCCAAATCTTTCAACTTCCGCCGGGACCCCTTCAGTGCAAGCACTGATTGGGGAACGGCAGTAGCACACCCAGACATGCGACGTATTCTTTCAGAACGGCGTCCCCGGAAGTCCCGACCCTGTCTCCGGGGCCGGTTTTTCATCCTGAGTCGTTTTCTGACGGTCCTGGGGCCCGGCGAGGGCCTCTACAGAGGTCGAACATAGCGAAACGCCTCCCGCCCTGATTTTGTTCACGACGCCATCATGTCTGGGTCTGGGTCTGGGTCTGGGTCTGGGTCTCCTCCTCCTCCTCCTCCTCCTCCTCCTGCTCCTCCTCCTCCTCGTTTTCGTTTCCGAGCAGCTTGGAACGTGCGCGTGCGGAGAGACATGCATGGCGGAGCGGCAAGGAAAAGGACAGTTCGTGTATCGACCCTCCTTGAGAGGATGCCGTTGCTGTGTCAGCGTCACCTGGCTCACCATATAGAGGGAAACAGGAAGGGGAAGACTTATGTCTCAGGCCGGCCTCGGACGCTTCCAAGGTCAACGGGCCTTCCACGCGGCCAACCTGAGCGTCAGCATGGTGCGGCCTCTGGCCCTTTCTGGCCCGTTCGCGGGCGTCCTTGGCATCCTTCCGATCGAGTTCGGTAACAACGTCAGCCGGCAATCTGTTGAAAGTAGCCATGACTACAGAGCGGCATTTTTCCGACTTCTCCTCCAAATGGGTCACCACTCGAACGCGCGTGTGGAAAAACTGCATGCACGCTGGACAATGTGTTGTATCGATGTG